ATATATATATATATATATATATATATATATATATATATATATATATATATTTACGTACATATTCATAATATCCTTAATCTGTCAATGGGTTAATATAATTAAAAATGAGTAAAACAATAAATGCTCAAATTTCCTTTTTTTGAAGAAAGCTATGTAAAAATATGAATAAACTCAAGCTTTGTGTTATTTCACACATCTGGTTTCTAAAACTGATCCTTACCTTTCATAGCGTGAAGGCTTCTTTTCTCCTGATCCCATACATTCCAGCAGCTGTTTCTGAGTTCTCCCACTGACACAGTCAAAAAAAACAACAAATATATCAACAAGTGGGACGCAACCATGAATTGGAATAAAATTTTATATTTAAAAGTTTTTCAACAAATAAAAAAAACAGGGAGGCTTGCAAAAATAATAGTCCCCTTTATTATAATAATAATATAATTAATAGCTTGCAGGTAGGACAGCGATCCAAGACTTCAAAACGCTTTTTATTTTTCAGCACTAAAATGTATAAACCCTACTTCACTCAATCCATTATAAGATGGTCTTAAAGTAGGGAAGTCCAGTCGAGTTCTTTTCGAGCTTTTTGGATTATCTGACAACATTTTCCCAACCTCGTCATCTCATACCTGTATCTGAATTTGGAGCCTTTACATGACAGCAGAGTTCTATGAATGGGCTTCGGTTCCTCCGCCAGCTTGAAGAAGGCGTGATACTCCACACACATCTTCCAGAAGGATTTGCAAACATCACGGCTCGCCATGGCGAACTCCAGAGTGTCCTTACAGGATGCCTAGAGGAACAGAGAGCATGACCAAACATTCTGACTCTGAACTTATCCAGGAACTAACCAGTGGTTTCTGACACTAAGCTGTTTGATGATTTCATCGTCATCATAATTAATTGTTTTTATCAGTTGAACCGTGGTTCCTGGAGCTAAAATGTCTTTCTTTGACTGAAACACAATAAATGTTCTTTTTCCCTTTCAAAATCATCAAAATTTCAACAATATTTATTTTTGAGCTTTTTCCAATATAACTTAGAGGAAACTGCTTCCTTCACACCCAAAACATCCTACATATGTATTGATATCAAGCCACTCGCTAATATTCATGGATAAGTGATTGTAAATGTGTTGGTGAATTTCAAATAGAAGATATTTTCAAGAAATGTTGCACGTGTGAAAAAGGGCAACACTGGTAAGAATGGTGGAAACATGTGAAACACCATCCTGTAGGTATCAGGCAGTTACTGGAGCATCTGACAGTCAGGATGCAACGTGGACAAATTAAGCAGCACCTCCAGCATGTGGCGTACAGTAGGGAAATATGTGGGGGTGTACATAAGTCTTGTTTTAACCACTGAGTAACATCAGGTCTATTTGATTCACTATAAACGTAATAATGAAAAACAACGATCTAACAAAAAATAAAACATAATTCTGTGTGTTATTTTATCTATATTATGTTTCACTTAGTTACATGAATCATTAGAATAATGAAACTAAAACAAATAAAGCTTCTAATTGCAATTGATTTCAAGATTTGGCTTCATACCAGTGTTTGTCAAGCTTTCTCTCTGGTGCTAGTTTAAGATACTCCACCTTCTTGCAAGGTGGACATCTTAATATTCTAATCTTTAGTTCAAGGCCCTGTTTATAGAACCATAACCCTTTGAAAATTATGTTTTTTTTTCCCATTTATGTAAAATGTTTAACATGTATGTCATTTTAATTTCAATCTCTTAACACAAGATGGTGGCAAAAACTCTAGAAAAACTGCAACTTCTGTGCCACACCATGACTGAACTGTATGATATTTGAAACTTTACATCAGGAGCTATTACTAAGTCATAGAACACGTGCCAAAGCTTACCCATGCAGGCAGATTCTGTTTTACCTGTCTACACAACAACAGAGACTGGAATGATGATCAAAATGTTACACTGAGGAACCGGTTTTCATACTATCCTATTTTTAGAGAAAAGGAACATGGCGTGTATGGAAAGTCAAGATGTTTAGTTTTCACCTCAAAAAAAAAAAGCCTAGACCTTTTGCATTCAAAAAGGAACATATGATCATTCTAGTGCTCCACTGTTTTTTAATCTTACAATATTGATTGCATCTATTGTTATACTTTTCAGAATAAAAATCTTGAGAGATCTCACCCCAACTTTATCATGAAGTTTAATGAGGAAATGTTTGCGTTTGAAGCTCAGTTTGCGGATCTTTGCCCAGCTGAACGTGTTGATTTTGGTGTTTCCCTGCAAAAAAAATAAATAAATAAAATAAAAAAAAACCAAAGGTAATAAATATTAGCATAACCTTATGACATCGGTTTATGAGAAAAGGCATTTCATTGGTATTTGTAGCTTAAAAAATATGCATGACATTGAAGCTGTTTCACATTTTGTGCTGCAGAAGTTTAATAAATTTCAAGTTTTTTGTTTGTGAGTGTGTTTTAGAAGCATATAAGTGGTAAATAATATTCAAGTGGAAGGAAAAAATACATGGCTTTAAAGATGTAAAAAGATATTAACATGTGTAACATGCCTTTGTACTGTATTAAGCCCCCTTTCCTTGTACAAAAAACTTTTAATAATATGCATTTCAACCAGCTAGGTTAGGGTTAGGACTCCCTAAATAATAAAAGGTCCACTTGAGTAAAGTGTTGCTTTACACAAAATCTATAGAATTAGATTATAGTTTGATTTTCTTTTAACAAAACCTTAAAAAAGCCCATTAGCTTTTAATCCTTTCAAAACCTTTTAGTTTTATTGGTAACCAATATTTTGAAGTTTATGTTGGTGCAAATGTTGCCCTGTTTGTTGCACTCAATAACTAAAAGAATCAGTGGAGTCTTGGTTATGTGTTTTTATGCAATCTTATTCATGTTTTTTTTTTTATATTCAACAAATTCCTCTTAATATTAAGATAAAACAATCCCTTCTGATAAACTCTGATAACTAAATATCAAAATGTTCCCTGACTATGTTCAAACCAACTGAGCACACGCCTGAAAAACCAGCACTCCGGAGTGAGTGACGGCCAGGTTGATCCTCATGCCCTCCCCGTCGTTGGCCGGATGGGGCCTGATGCCGTACATGTCCAGCTTCCTCGCCACCTCCAGCAGCTGGATGTCCGAATTTGCTGGAGAAACTCCTCTAAGGAAAGAGTTTAACAAAAATAACTAAACACATTCATTTAATTAAACAATATTTACAGCAGAAATCAAATGACCTGCAACGATATCAAAGGCATGGAATTCATGTAATGTTTATCTTATTCACTTTTTTTGTAGCACTTTAAAGTAGGATTAGAAAACATCTCTACAACTAACATCTAGATTCCTCCTCTTCATACCTGTGTCTTTTATGAAGCCTGATTATTTTATGATCCAGATATTCCTGGTTGGGGACATAGTGCTTCATCTCCAAGTGCTGATAGTCCAGCTCCTCATCATAGTCCCCTATCTCTGCTATAACATAAAGACACATGCACATTTATTTTTGTTCTCATATTTTACTTCCTCTGTTGACTAAATACATTCAAACATCCAGAATTATACTTACATGTATCCATAAATATTATTTTAAGCACTAACCATGAGAATTTAGCTTAAGAATGTATATTTATGTTATTCATGCTTACACTGTAGTATGTGTGAGACCAGCAGGGCGGCACTGTTGTCATTGCATGTTAGACTGCCCGTAGATAAATCCTGCTTGATCTGTAAGGCAAAAAGATACCTGCACATACAGAGCAGTTAACTTGGATGGAAACTGTGTTTTTATACCTATCCACATGCTAAAATAATAAATAAATGTCTGCTAACATAAAATATGCAGAGATTCATTGGTGGGCTCAGTTTCTGTTCGATCTGATGATTAATGGGTTTGAATAAGATGATTTAGAAACCAAAGCAGCTAAATCCCCTCTGATATATTAACAAATATATGTTTATAATATTAATTCTTTATTAAATAAAGGTTTACCTTGTGAGGCCTCTCTTTAGTTGACCAGGGTCTGGTGGGAAGAACTTGACTATAAATCTAAAGAATAAGTCATTGGTGTCTGAAACATAAAAGAAGATATAATTTAGATTTTAATGCAATTTAGTTTTGATGCCACAAGTAAAAAATATTATTCTAAACAAAGCCGAGCTGATATTTAGAAAATTTTATTCCCTTATACATTTTTAATTTCTGGTAAAAGTCGTCTTGTTGTTACTTCCAAGGTTAAAAAAAATCTGTTGGGTCCTCCCTTCAAACATCCGGTTGTAAACTTCCCTATTGAAGATGAGGAATACGATCTCACAAGTCAGAGCAACTCAAATAAATCGGACAAAATATCAACTCCGTCTTTTATTTTTTGTGAAACTTACGACATCTGTGTTATGAAGAGGTGTGAAGAATGTCTGAATCAGATTTGATGAGGATGGGAAAGCTTTCACTTTCATGGTTTAAATATTGTTACTGACAACTGGTTGTGCTTCATCCAAAAAGTCGCCGTAATATCTTTCTACAACCAGTAAAGTAAAAAAATTACCTGTATTTTTGCTAATGTTCACAAAAGGTCAGAGGTCAGTAGAGAACTCAACAGAGTGGCACTGCTTCATCGTATTTCTAATCAAGTTACAGAAAAAAGAGGCCTTTATAGAAATGAGTATTTTTGGTAAAAGGCTACTTAAGTATCAAGTTGCTGATCTTACTACATATGATAATAACAACTGATTTAATAGAAAAAAATATGTAAAATTGAACAAACTAACTGATGATAATTCTGGTATTTCAAAGAATAAGATAAAGGTTAACATATGACAAACAGAAATTACACAATAAAAAACTTAATTGTATCTAACACTCTTCAAAATACATTTTGGTAAGGTAGAAAACTTACAAAATCAATCTTTAAAGTAGGTAAGAATAGGTTAATAGGATTTAGTAAAGTAAACCGGCTTTACTAGATTTTCACTCGACCTCCAAATGACACAAAAACATTTAACTAATAAGTCTGAAGTACAAACAAGAAAATATTGTGTCTCTGAATGTTGCATATATGTTAAACATAACTTTGTTTTCATTAATTGAAGTTACTTACAATGGATGAACTGACAAGAAATTTTTATCAAGTAAGATTAGTGATACTTTATCATATTCTTACTCAAGTAAAAAGTAGAATGATGTAAAACTACTCCTAAAAGTATATTTTTGCTCTTAGAGAAAAAAACTTACATTTAATCTGTTTGACTAGAGGCTTAAGCAGTTCCAACCAAACCTGCAACAGAAACATGTTTAGAAACACAGAAGCATCTAAAAGGTTCATGTCTTTGTTAATGTTTGTTTCTTACATAATGGCCGCTGTGGTGTCTGAACTCCAGTCCAAAGTACTCCTTCTCAAGCAGTTTCAGATGGCCGCAAACTTTGTTGAAGAAGTCCCCACCTAAAACGTTTTGCTGCGCAAAGAAAAGCAGAAATTAAAAGTGGGTGTTAGGGATTTAGGGATAAAAGGGGCCTTTGAAAGTGAGATGTTTTTTTAATCTGGAAATACTCATGGGATTTTTGAGAAATAGCCCCAGCTAAGTTATTTTACACACCAGCCCTTATTTAAAGTTGAACTATAATTATCCTGCTTCCTAATGCTCTAGTCTTAATATGATTTGTTGCTGTACTTTTAACTATAAATGTGCACATTTTCTACTAGTAGAGGGTTTAACATATGCTAAAAACATTTAACAACAGGGAAAGGTTAGAAAAACGAAGCAATCTATTGCCTGTCACACAACATGTGTACCGAATGCAATGAAAGTACCACCCCTCTCTGCTAATCCTTGCAGTGTCAAAGGGTTATACCCCTGGCAGGTAACCAGTCCAGCAGGGACATTTTGAGAGACACGAGACAAGCAGCCATGCTCTCTCTCACTGATACCTGAAGCTACTTATAGAGTCCTATCAGCAAAGGGTTCACACTGTGAAAGGAAGCTGTAATACCTGCAGAGAAGAAGGCTGAGCTGGTTGATACCAATAGGTTGGGCTGTTGGAGGTAGAGAACAAAAAAACAAAAAAAAACAAAAAAAAAGCAAAACAAAAGAAAACCCTATAAGTCACTACAACATTTCATTTCCTTTGGGATTAATAAAGTAATTTTGAATTGAATTGAATTGAGAGCAGCACCGTCTTACTGCTAGACATCCCTGTGACGAGCTGTTCCACTGTGAAACTAAAAATTCAAACCATCCATCCATTTTCCGTTTCGCTTATCACCCTGAACAGGTCACCAGTCCATCGCAGGGCAACACAGAAACAAACAGGACAAACAACCATTCACACACACCTAAGGAGAATTTAGAGAAGCCATTTAACATAATAGTCATGTTTTTAGACTGTGGGAGGAAGCTGGAGTACCCGGAGAGAAACTACGCATGCTCAGGGAGAAGATACAAACTCCATGCAGGAAGACCCCAGGCCGGGAATCGAACCCAGAACCTTCTTGCTGCAAGGTGGAAGTCCCACCCACCGCAATTAAAACCAGTTAAGGAAAAAAAAAATGTTTTCATTTATTTTATAAACTATGACAGAAATTTGGTTAACATTTTAAGCAATTTTTTCAGTTTCAAACGCAATAACGTATATTAATTTCTAGTTTAATTACATTAAAAATTAGGCAATTTTGCTTAAAAGAAAACAAAACAATTGTATGTAATACCAAATAAATGTATGACATATAAATGTGCTAAATGTTTCAGCATGATTTATTATTAACCTCCTATAATTCAATATTAGAATGTTATGTGGTTTTCATAATATGATCATTCATTTGTAGAAAAGCTGAGGAGGAGTTAAGAAGTGTTTCAAATTATGGCCTCTTTTTTGACACTCAGTTCTGGCGATATTTTTATTCTAATTAGGGCAGCTTTAAATCAGAACCTGCTATCTTAATTAACATAATGCAGCAGTATTGATTACCAATGAACTCTCAGTCTGTTTGTATGTTTAAGTCAAAGAAACCTATCAGGTCTATAAGTAAAGCCCAAAATGTGAATTAAAAAGGTAAAAAAATATATTTTTACTTGCAGGGTTTTTGATTGCAAGAATAATATTTTAATCTTCTAAATAATATTGCCTCTGCTTTTAAATCTTGACTTGGTTAAAGCATTGTGCTTGGGTCTCAGACACTCTGAGTTCAAGTCCCACATACTCTCACGGCTGCCATTCTGGGTCCCTGAGCAAGACCTTTAACCCCACACTCCTCCCTGGCTCCGCACAATGGCCGCCCACTGCTCCCCAAGGAGATAGGTTAAATGCAAAGAGTGAATTTCGCTGCTCTGTACTTGTGAGTGTGTAATGACAATCCAAGTTGGAAAAGAAATAAAAATACATCCAAGCAGAAACACACGCACAGTTCAAAGCTAAGCTGAACTTTCTACTTCTATCTAGTTATATCTGCACATCTGACTGTTCTCCTCTGTCATCTCTCTAATTACAAAGGGAGTGTTTGTGAATTGTTCACTTTCTTCACCAACATGGTAGCTTATTTTAGCGTTCACTGGCTGCTCCCTGGTTTTTAACTTAGCAGCGTGGGTCACTGAAGACCCTCATTAACTTGTCTTGGAGGAAGAGAAGGAGGAGGAGGGACTAAGCTGTTGATGCCGATTATAGAGAGATCAGGAGACAAAGTGATGATTACTGGAAACAAATGACCACCCTCACAGCAGCTAGTGACAGCAGAGGAAGCGTACTCTGGAAAATCATGTATAGAACATTTGCTGTTCATGTACTCCTATGCATCTATAAAAACATTCAACCCTTAAAGATTTCCTTTCTTTTGTTAGGGCCCTAAAACCCTTCTTTTTACTTGCAATATTCGTTCTGTATTCTACTTTGTTTCATTATAATAGTGTTTACTGTAAAATTAAAAAAGTTCAGACACTATTGGTTTAGATTTTGCATTTATGAAAGGAAGAAAAGAGCCATATGTCAACAAAGTTAAAAGTAAGGTATTCTGATAATATCAGAAAACAAGTAAATATTGGAAAAATAGCTGCTGTTAGTTTAGTCAGTGGCTCAGATCATTGCAAAAAATCATAATGCAATAAATGATGTATTTATGTAAATTATGCATTTGAATTGAGAAAGCTTCCTGGAGAGGTGGCGAAACGTCTTCAAATCTTGAAAACCAAGTCCAGTGGATATTTTTTGAATTTTTACGGAATATGTATTAAAGGTTTTAAATTCTCTAGATTGTGTTAAATCACCCAAGTTTAGACGCTTCTTCTCCGAACCCTATTTTCAAATCCAGTCTTTCTGCCATCAGTCACTGTACTGTTCAGTCAGATTGGATGGAAAACTTCTGTGATCATCCATCTAAGTTCTTGCCTTAGATTCTAAATCAAATCTAGTTCTTCCAAAGGGCAAACATTGGCTAAAAAGAGGACACATCCAAACGACGTCTAGATTTCCTTGAAAAGTGAAAGGTCAAAAGCTGTCATTTTGAGATTATTCATTGTCTATTAGTGGACTAAAGTGGGACAAAATCAGACTGACCAAACAAGGCCCAATGTTAAACTATTTCTGGACTAAATCAGGACTATGATGGAGCGACCAGATTTAGCTTAAAAACCAACGTCTAAATGATGTCTGGTGTTTGGGGGGTTGGGTCATTTTAACTAATCTACACTGAAAAAAAGATCTAGAAATAAGTAAAAATGTCTTAAATTAAGTATATTTACCCTTAATTTGAGTAGGTAAATGAGGTAGTTTGACAATAGAATGAGTATTTTTACTCTTAAAATAAGATAATTAGAAATTATTATTTTAAATGTAAATTGTCTTGTTCCATTTGCATTCCATTCCATTTCCTTTTTTTCTTGACTTGTTCCATTGGAATGCCAATGAAATGGAATGCATTGTCCAATGGAATGCATTTGTCCTAAATCAAAGAACAAATGCATTTATTTTAAGAAAAAATGACTTATCCAGATTTTGTTTGTTTCGGGTGTAAATCATTTGATTGTAGCTCTGTTTGTACTGTATGTTCAGCTTTCTTGTCCGTCTGGAAAGTGAACCTTAACCCTATTCTAAAGTTTTTGCAGGCTCTCCCAGCACTCGGCTGCATTAACCCTTTATAGGGCTCTCAGTGAAATACTTTGAAAATCTAATTTTCAAGTCAGTAGTGTTACTGAAATCCAGGACAAGACCTTATTACCTTTATAACATTCACAAAATATGAATGTTTTGATGGAATAAATTAATTTCAATGTAATAACAAGAAACGTCAACTTGCCCAAATATATATTTAAAAAAATAACAAAAGTGCTTATATAAGAAGTTCATGAAAAACACTCTGAGAGTGAAAGAAACACATTTTTTCGGTACAACATAACCTTAGAGGCATTAATGTTGATACTGCCACTTACATTTTTTAGTTAATAAACCTAAATATAAATCTTAACTAGGCTTCTTAACCTGTTAAAAAGCAAAATTAACTTTTCAATTAGCTTTTTACCTTTTTTTCTTGACTTGTTAATTTTTAGTCCAACTTAATTTACAGTAGGTAATATATCATTCAAGGCCTATCTAATTGGTCAAATGCCAAAATAAGATGTAGAGCCATGTAGCAGTATCTTTTTTAAGAATGGCTGGATATAGATCTTGTGCTTCTAGACCTCCCTGAGGGACGGGAGGGACTCTACTTGTAATAGAGGTGTAAATAATAATGGTTTTGTATCGATGCATCGATCCAACAGCCGATGATCCGATGCATCAATACGTCCGCAAGTGTATCGATTCATTTTTTTCCCCTCCGGTCTATTTTTGTCCATTTGCTCCTGGACATAATTCTGACTCACGTGCTGCGGTGACGGAACCTATTTTGCCCTACTACATCGCTTCCTTCAGCCACAACCCTCTTTCCACTTGCACAGACACACTCGCGTAAACACAGAGGCATTATTATTTTTCAGTAATGAGGTTTTCCTAGGCCTAGGTGGTGTACAACTTTGCTACTTCTGTTCTTTGCTGTTGTTTCTGAAATAAAATGCATAACAATATTACAGCTTTCATTGATTTATTTCAAAAAATTTACCAATTAATCGAATCGTATCGTGGTGTATTCTTGAGTATCGAAAATAATCCAATCGTTGGGTCAGGAAATCGATACTGAATCGACTCGCCATGATGGGTGTGATTTACACCCCTAATTTGTAAGGGATCAAACATGGTAACTTGCCCTATAAAGGATTAAGCTCCATCCATCTTGCTATAAACTCTGATCAGCGTCTGAGTCTCTGCTGAGAAAATGCATTCCTACAGCATGATGCTGCCATCACTGTGTATCATTTTAGGGATTTTTATCAGATTAGGATGTTAGTTTTCCACCTGACATTTTGATTTGGATGTGGACCAAAAAGTAAAGTTCTAGTCCCATCCGACTGGAGCCTGTTCTTGTCACTCCTCC